TTTCTGAGGCTTTTGCGATGGTGTGGACTGCGCTGACAGAAAAAATGTGGTCATTGAAAGCTGTTTGTTGCAAGAGCGCTGCATGGGGATTGCTGTCAAATGTTTACTTGATCAAGTGCTTTTTGAGGTTCATGTCGGTGAGCACTCAGGTGGAGGCAGTGGGGTGCCCCCTCAAGCCTTCAGCTTTTGATGTTTGCATTGCCTGGAGGTGTGAAGTGAAGCAAGTCAAATGGACGCGCTCTGACTTGCTGGGGCCTTATTCGAGCGTCTTGTTTTGATTTGTGGCTAGCTTTGTGTTCATTGGCGTGTTTTGTTTTGATTTGTTGCTTTTTTGTTCCGCTAATGCTCCTGAGGTGTGATGCCGGCTCCAACCTTAGTGCAAATGTTTTTGTACATGGTTTCATGATGTTTCATGTTTGTTGCGCGCGCGCATGTTTGTTCATGACTGTTCACGCATGGCAGAGGTTCTCCATGTTTGTTCATGAGGGTCCATTGTTGCTCATGGCGGTTCATGGCATGTTGTTCATGACATGTGCGGTGGTCATGTGCTCATGCAGGGTCATGTGCTCATACATGCATGTCATCACTTTCATGCATGAATTTTGTTCATGTGATTCATGTATGTGCTAAGGGGTTTCGCAAACACCAGTGGTGGGAAGAGTTTTCTTCAAGTGACCCCATGTAAACATGAAGTGTGTTTATGTGCATGCAGTGTTCATGAAACCTTCAAAGTAGTTGCAGCTGTTTTGGTTCAAGGGCTCTGGCTCTGACTATGGTCCGGGTGCTAACCCAAATCAAAGGTGAACCAGATTTGGTTCAAAAGTATGCGGATGCTTTTGGACGAGAGGAGCGCCTGAGAAATGTACTGGCCTTATTGGTCACATGAACAATGTTGGAGAGGGTAGGCTTGTTTTGCCCAGGCTGTGTTCAACTTCCTGCAAGCGCACTCGAAGGACCTGTTTGGCAAGGGCACTGCGACTCTCAAAGATGTTGAGGTGAATGTTGAGGCTTGTTTTGGAAGCGACTGCATGCTTTTTGCTTTCAGCAGCAAGAATGTTTGCTTTGGGCAGGCTGTCTTTGCTGTCATGAGTGTGACGCCTCAGATAAAACTCAGCGAGGAGGTTCTAGCAACTGCTGTGATCCGCCACTATGAACAAATGGGCTTGCCGGTTGGGGTAAGCATTCAAGCTTTGAATGCTTTTGCGGCGCGGGTAGCTTGTGGTCTCAAGAAGGTGGTGGCCAAGTTTCGGTGTGTGTACCGTGAGACTCCTAGTGCAGCCAAGTCGAAAGGAATCTACAGCTTGAAGCAACGGCTACAGAATGAAAAACGAACAGCTCCAGCAGAAGAAACACATGTGAAAGAAGAAGAACTTCAACTGTTGGCTGCTCCACCTGATTGGGCTAAAATTCTGGCAGAGAAAGTGAAGAAAATGAAGGAACAGAAAGCTGCTGCGTTGGCTTCAAGTGCTGTAGAACCTGTCAAAGCTGATGGGCCTCAGGAAAGACCTGTCCCTACGCCGGCTCGGTCCAATGTGTTACCAGAGTTTGTTTTGGAAACACTGCAGAAAGAAAAAGCTGCAGAACCTGTGGCTCCTTTCAGTGTTTGGGAGAAGGGTGCAAAGGAGGATGTGCATGCTGGTGACAGTCGGGAAGATGGTGGCCAGAAGAAGAAAAAGACCAACCAGAAAAAGAATGGCAAGAAAAGCCAGAAGAAAGCTAAAAAGGCCGTGGTTGCTGATGATGAGGTTGAGAATGGCCTTGGTGGGGAGGTCACCATGGTTGCTGGTTCGCCCAAGGACGTAGTTGGCGAGGACGTTTGTGGAAAGTATGAGCCCAAGATCTTCTTGCAGAAGAAAAGGGAGTTCATTCAGGCACAGCGAACTGCCAAATGCATTGGATACAGAGAAGCAGAACAGTTGTGGATGCAAAGTGATGAGAGGGCATCCTATTTGCAGACGCTGCCGCTCAAAGAGCTGAAGCGCAGACGGTTCATGTAATTTGTATTGAGTCGGTGGCACCTGGCCATTAGACACTTGCACTAGGTAGGTCATGTTGCACGTGGTCCTTTGCCGCGTGAAAATGTTTGGCAGAATGGCTTTGCTTGATGTGTGGATTGGCCCTGTGCATGTGCGCATGTGCGCAACTTGCCCAAGTGTAAGGACACAGTAGGACACAGTCCAATTGCTCCAAACAATGGCTGGAGTAAGTGTAGCTGAGCTGCTGCAATGGGGTGCTCCATATGTTTTGGTCCTTCTTCACCTTCATTTGGTGTTCACTGAAGATTTGGCCAGTGATGAAGCCAGCGCCTGAGATGCGTTTTTGAAGTTGTTGTTGTGGAATGTCATGTGTGTTGTGAGGTCTATGATTATGTGGAGTTTTTCTCCGGGCAGGGTTTGGTGAGCCAAGCTTTGACAGAGGCGTTTCTGACAGAGATGGGGTTGATGATTGATGTGTGCTAGTATTGGTTTGTTGGCAGGCGGGCTATGTTGGGGCTGCGTTGTACCGGGACTATGATTCCAGCATGGACTTTGTGACGCCAGCTGGGTTTGCGTTGAGGCCTTATCCTTTGAAGTAATGCGTCGTTGCTTTTTTCTGACTAAGGTTGTGCTTGCAATGCGTGAGACGTTCCAAGCTAGGTGCTTTACACTTGGTGGCGCTAGCATGCAACAGCTTTTGTGCTCCGTGCTTGGTCTGCATGAGTGTGTTGCATGGGTATATGAATTTGGTTTCTCGCTTTGCTCACTTCCTCAGGTGTTCTGGCAGCCATCAGCGGAGCATTTTGTTTCCATTGGGAAACCAAGGGTATGCTTTCTGTGCACTTGGCAATGTCCTTGCGTCTCGAATGGCACTTTTCATGATATACTCGATGGTTGGAGGTGCAAGGTGGTTGTTGGAGCAACCTGGAGGAAGTGTAGCAGAATTACACACTCGGCTTGGCAAACTGCTGAATGACTACTTTGTGTACAAAACGGGTATATGGGGAGGTGCCTTTGCTGATGACTGCAGCACTGCAACCCCAAAGCGGCACCAATTGTTCAGCAATGACAAACAAATGCTGGAGCGTCTTGCTGTAGCTGCTGGCAAGCTGTCGGCAGAGGATTTTGAACAGCTTCAAGGAGAGCGTTTGACCAAGAAGTACAGAAAACCTGATGGGAGCTATGGGTACGCTGGCAATGGTGGCTACATGAAAGCCTCCCAGTACCAACCCAAGTGTGTGTAAACAGTTGTTGTTGTTGTTGTTGTTCTTCTTCTTTCTCTTGGCTTGGATTGATGTCAGGAAATACCACCGAAGATTTGCTGTCTGCATCTCTCAGCTGAAGAGTGAGATGGATGGACCATTCTGGCAGGACCCTGTTGGGTGCTTTTGAGTGGTCATGTGGTGCAACTTATGTGTGTAGGAGCTGCCAAAAGGCCCCTGCTCAGTGCAAACAGTGGATGGGGGTGCTACAGACTTGGAGCTCTTCAAGGCCAAAGGGTGGTGAACATTTAAGAGAGCTTAGTTGAGTATGTGTGAGGCCATTCGATGGGAGCAAGCAGATGGATGGAAAGACGTTAGCAGCCTCAAGTGTGTGTGTGTGTGCGGCCACACTTGTAGTGTGTTCAAGTCCTAAGGCAAAGATCATGGATGCGATCCATTATTTGAGGAAAGTCGTGGCTTCAAGCCGCCTGATAGGTGGGGGAAGCTTCTGGACAAAGCAGTGCGAGCTTTGGACATTGAAGCCCACAAAGGGTGATTGAGGCCAGTGTGGCGTGAAAAAAAAGAGACCGAGAAAAAGCGAGATTTCGATGTAATAACCCCGTGAATCGATGTAATAACCCCGAGATTTTTCTCGCTCCATGTTGGGCTTGTGTTTTTGAGAGTTTTGTGGCTTGAAGTGAGCAAAAGTGAGCACACTTGTCTGGGTGACCCTGTACACACCATGGCGGAGCTGTCGGAGCAAGACATGTTCTTCGGGGTGTGCATGGAGCTGATGCGAGAGTCGAATGGAAAGTTGCCAACAGCAAAGCGGTTGGCAGAAGCAGCTGGTATGGATGTGGAGGATGCGAAGGAGATCTTGGCAGACATGAAGAGTGGCCAGCCCAAAAAGAAACCAAAATCAGCTGCAGCCAAGCCCAAAGCCAAAGCCTTGTCCTTTCCAGAGCCGCTTGCCCATGAGCCGCCTGCCAATGGGGCTGAGGGTCAACTGGTGGCTTCTGCTCCTAGCGCTGTGCAGACTCCTGTAGAAGTTGTGGAAGTGCCTGAAGAAGCTACACAGGTCCACTCGCCAGACAACCAGCTTGGCTTGCCAGAGGAAAGCTTTGTGGAGCCTACCCAAGTGGAGGAAGCAAAGCCCACTCTGGGTGGAGCTCCTCTTACTGTTGCGCAGACTGGTGGCGAAAGTGAACTTGCACTACCTTCACCTCTTGATTTGGGGCGTGGTGACTCGCAAAGGCCTGCTTCTTCTTGTGTCCACCTTCTTAGTCCATGCGCAATTTTTGTCTGCAGGTCCATCGCGACACTTCTTCGTGGGCAAGCTATGACCCAGCCCAAGCAGTTGCAGTTTGGTGATGTTCGTAGCCCAGAGCAAGAGAAGTGTTGGCCTTAGAAGGGGTTTTGTTTGTGGGTTGTTCCAAAAGGAAGTTCAAGCTTGCTTGTGGTACATGTTGACATTCATGATGTGCTGCATGGTGTTGTTATTGCTTCATGCGCGACATGTAAACTTGTTTTGTTCATGCATGTTTTTGTTTTCAACATGAGGGTCTTGGTGTATATGACCATGTGCTCATGAGGGATTCATGTGCGCATGTGCTCATGAGGGTTTCATGTGAGCATGTAGTCGTGAGGGTTTCATTTGCTAGTGTTTGGTTCATGAGAGGGATTGAGGGTGGAATGCATGTGAGCATGTTTCATGTTCTAGTTGGTTCATGGTCATGAGTCATGATATGTTCATGCATGAACATCAAAACGCGTTAGTGATAGTCTCTGCAGGTTGGAAACACCTGTACACAGATCGGATTCTATGACGCCTCAACCTTCCCCGTCTGCTCTGTCCAGTGGCATTGGGAACTTGGAGAATGAGTTGAATGCCCTCTTGGATGGCGATGGTGGAGGTGCTTCACGGGCTGCTGCAGTTGCTTCTGCTTCTCATGGAGAGGGCAGATTGGAGGATTGCTACAACAGCACTACCCGCAAGAAGCAGTGGTTGAGGTTGGATCGTATGTGCAAAGGGCCTGCTGCCCAAAGTTTTCAAGGTTTGGCAAAGCTTTTCCAGGGCAACAAGCTTGACAAAGCAAAAGCCCTCCAAGCATACCTGGCAGCAGATGAACAGATGGCGGAGGCAGAAGCCCACTTCCAAGTCAGCAAGAAGCATGCTGAACGCCAACGCCGTGGCCGCAAGCTGATGACTTTGAAAGAGATGGCTGATGCTAATTTTTCAGAGCAACTTGGCAAACTACTTTGAAGTGCAAGCAATTGTTGCTTTTTAAATGTGTTGTTTGTCAGTTGGGCTAAGGGCCAAAATTCGTGGATGTGCGGCCCGGGGGGCAGTCCCTGACCCAGATTGCCCCACGGATGAAGCTTCGTACAAATACTGGGCCTTCGTTGGTGCTACTGCTGAAGAGGAAGATGAAGAAGTTCATGAGACCCACTTGCGTGGCAGTGTCCAGCCCAATGATGTGGTCCAAGCTATGGCTGTCAACAGCAATGTCATGGCTACTGTGCGGCATGCTGACCCAACAGCTTTGGCCCGCCAAGCAATGGCCAGTGTTGCTGCTGCGCCGGCTGCAGTGCCGAGTGTTGTTGGTTCCACACTCAGCTTGGAGTTTGTACTGTGCGCTAGTTTGTTTCTTTTGTGTAAGGCCCTGTGGGCAAAGCTGTCCAACGTCGAGGAGGTAGTGCTAAGGCGGTCCCAAAGCCTAAAGCAAATCCACTTTCGGCTGTGGCTTTGGCTGGCAAAACTGTGGTTGAAAAGACAAAGCTGCTGGGCCTGGACCTCAATGCTGTTGTTTTTGGGGCTACATTGTGTGAACTTGTTGACACCTAGGAAATGAAGTCAAGAAGGAACTTACCCAGTTGAATACGTTGGCCCTTGATTTGCCCAATTTCGAGCAGATGAATGGCAATGTGCCAGTGGTACAAGGGTATGTCAAGAGCTTGACTGATTTGTACGGCAGGCAAGCTTGCATGCATACATACATACATACATACATACATAGTTTTGTTTTGTTTTGTCCATTTGTGCTTTGCTTCAGTGGAAACGACACTAGACTTGTGATTTGTCAGGTTGTCAACGATCCAGGATGAGCCAACCTTTGCTTCAGTGTGCACTGAAGTGGCAAATAAAGTAGGAACCTTGGTGTGCTGTTGATGGACTTGTGATGTGTGGTTGCAGTGCGCAGGTGGCAGAAACCAGATGCAAGCGTGCTGAATTTTCCGCAGTCCTCAAAGAGATTCGCAAGTCACGCTTGCGAGTTTCTGTTTGTTTTGGAATTTAGATTTCAGTTGTGCTGTAGAATTGCCAGGGGGTACAACGCTGGCTTGTGAGTGGTGTGGGGGATTTTTTGGAGCAGTGCTAACACTGCTTGGGGCTGGAAGCGCAGCTCTGTAGCTGCAATGGACGGATGCCATTAGAGCTGAAGTGCGTTCAAGAAGAAGTCAAAAATGCTAAGGTTGTTGAACTCAGTGCACATGCTTGATAAGGACATCATTGAAGTTTTGTTGATGAATGGCTTTTTGAGTACTCCTGCTGCAGTGGAACTCAGAGAGAGTCTTTGGACAGAAGGCTACGTGTTGTTTGGAGTTGGTTCCAATGAATCTTTCTACATGTTGGTTTGTAGGTTGGCCGGAGAAGTGGGGAGTGGACAGTCGACACTCCGACAAGCGATCCGATTGGGACAAGTGTATGGTTCAAATGTGTGGAAGTTCCTTGTTTCAATTGGTGCATTGATTGTTTCACACTCTTGTGTGAGATCATTTCTTTGGACATCAAGGTCTTCGTCGTCCAAAGATGACCGAGCTTACCGTACACTAGCAAGACACAATTTGGCTTTCAAAGATTGCATCAGTCGTGTGGAACTTCCAGTGCTAGATTGGGAAGGCAATGAAAAAATTGAACCGTGGCCTGCGCTGTTGCGACATGATTTGGCAAAAAAAATTGTTGAGCATGATGTGCACTCAATCTTGGGGCAAGGCTCAGCAGAGTACTGGGCCAAAATGGAACAGGAGTTTGGAGTGCAGAAACCAGGTGGTGACAAGCCAGCGGTAGGCCTTGCCTTATGGGGGGATGAGGGTGAGATCTTTGACAGTTGCCAGTACATGGCTCTGAGCTGGATGAGTGAAAACTGCCCAAAGTGGAAGGATGCAAAACTGTCTCGATACTTGATAGCATTAATTCCAACAGAGTCGTACCTCATGCGTGGCCAGTTCAATGTGACTCTTCAATGCCTTCTTGTTGAAGTTGTCAAATCGCTCACTGTGTTCAGTGAAGTTGGCATACAAGATGCGCTTTTTGGTGTGGTTGTGGCCTTGAAGGGAGATTGGAAGTTTTTGACTCAGTGCTTGAACTTGAAGAGGAAACCAAGTTGTGATGCCTTTTGTTTCCTTTGTGAGGGAACTTTGTCCAATACTTGTCCAATCACAGATAGGTCCGCTGAAGCGTCGTGGAAGACATGTGTCCCTAGAGCGCCGTGGGATGTTGTGCCAGAGGTTCAGAACCTCCCCCATTTCCACCTTGGATTGGTTGCGTTGGATGTGTTGCACGCTTGGTTCCTTGGGGTTGGGCGAGACCTTGTCAGTTCAGTCCTTGTTCTCATGTTGCGGCTGCGGTTCTTTGCCGGTCAAAATGCAACTCACCTTGAAGCTTGCTTTGTGTGTTTTCAGCTTTTGTTTCTGTGTGTGAATTTCAGCTTTGTGTGTTTTCTTTGCTCTGTAAATGTCATCACGCCTTTCTGCTGCAGGTGAAGACGAGGATGTTCAATGCATCCAAGACAATAGTCATGTGGAGCCGTCAGAACTTAGACAAATCTTGCAATAGATTGCCGAGAAATTGGATGCTCACCAAGGGCAAGTTGTGCTTGAGCGGAGGCAAATATGTGCATTTGTTGGGGAAGGGGTGGCACTGTGATGTCTTGCTTCGCTTCTTAGCTGATCAGCTGAGCCAAGACCACATCGACTTTGACCCGCTTGTCAAGACAGTGGTTTGGGCAGCTCAAAACCTCTTGGGATTGCTCTATGAGTCCCGTCATGAAAACGGCATGTGGCTTTTGCCACATGAAGTCAAACAGCTTCAAGTAGTGGGTGATGTTTTCTTTGATACCTACTTGCGGTGCCATTTGAAGTATTCCAACTTTTGCGTCTTCAAGCTCTTCAACATCCGGCCAAAGTTCCATGAGTTTGAGCACATTGTGCTCAGCACATTGCGTCAGAAGAACCCCCTCATGGGGGCTACGTGGTTGGATGAGACTTGGTTGAAAGAGGTGCTGCAAATAGCCAGGAAGACTCATCGGTTGAAGACCCATGAGAGCACCATCACACGGTATTGTGCAGGCTGGATGGTGCTTGCGCGCATTTGTTTTTGTGTTCATGTGTTTGGTGTTCAGGCTTGAAAGTCCTGTTGCAAAGTCCTTGCCTTAGTTTGCAAGTGTTGGTGTTAAGCCATGTGCTCATGAGTTCATGTCATGTGTTCACGTATAATGTGTTCATGCTATGTGTTCATGTCATGTGTTCATGCGCTCATGCATGTTTGCAAACCATGTGCTTTTATTTTGTTCATGTCATAAGCTCCTGTGTTCATCGTGTGTGTTGTAGGTTCATGCCATGTGCGCATGTGCTTTGCAGAAACTTTAATGTTGTTGCCTACATTTGCCTACCAATTCATGGGCATGGACAAACATTTGCAGTTGCTTGCGTTGTGTGAATTCAATGCTGTGTTTTGGTTGTATTTGCTGAGGTTACAAAGAGTGAGAGGTGTAGGGGTGCTTGGCTGTTCTTTGAACTTCGTGTTCCTCGCGGAAAAAAAGCTTAGTGTGGGTCTGCAGGCGGTCAAGGGATTGATCAAGTGAAGTGCATGTTGTGGTGACAACTGAATGTCTATGCTTCATGATTTTTATGGTGCAATGGGGTGTTGGGTGGTTTGGGTGGGGTTTTGGAGAGGGGTGATGGCATGGATATGGCCATATCGGGGGGTTTTGGTAAGGACACGACTCTCTGGGAGTTGGTTGGCGTGAAATTCGAACCATTCAAGAAGTTGGTCGGTAGGTGAAAGAGCTTGAAAGTTGGGTGGAGGTCGCCAGCGGTTGAGTGGGCGACGAAGGACTGCTGTGGTGGGGTATTGAGAGGGGTCGGTGTTGGTGTTGTCGGTGTTGGGGCGCAAATCGATGGGTTGTGGGGAGCGGCTGCGGGAGGGTGTGGGGCTGTAAGAGTAAGTGGAGGTTGAGGGCGAACGGCGTCGCCGGGTGGTGCTGTGGTGCTTTGAGTGGCGGTGATGTCGATGCCTGCGGCGGTGGTGGTGACGCCCCCGGTGGTGATGATCAGACTTGCGTCGGCTCTTGTGGTGGTGGCGGCGACTGCTGTGATGTGGCTGTGGGGAAGGTGGTGGCGGTGCTGGTGTAGCGGTGCTGTCGGGCTTGTCTGTTGCAGGTAGTGAAGGCGCAGTGGCTGGTGGGGCTGATGCAATGGATGGTGATTTGGATGGTTGGGAGCCAGTGGCTGAAGTGGTGACGTTTTGGACCGGTGCTGTGGGGTCCTTGGCTGATGTGGTGACGTTTTGGACCGGTGCTGTGGGGTCCGATGTTGCCGGTTGTGGGAGTGAGGGTTGAGCTGGTGGTGGATCGCCGATGGCCAGTGGAGGCGGCGGCGGAGGCAAAGGTTGAGGTGGAGGTTGTGTGACTGGGGGAAATGCTGAGTAAGGTTGCCATACTCCCTGGGGCATAGTGCACTGCGGGTCTGCGGATGGATGATGAACAACTGTTGCTTGTTGTGGTGCTGGAAGTGGCTGGATCTGCGTGGTGGGGGTGGGTTCTGCAGGTGGTGTGTGATGTAGTTGTGGCAACATGTAAGAAGGGGGAGGTGCTGTAGATGGAAAAACTGGGGTTGGGTGTGTGGGTTGCGGTGGCGGCTGAGATGGTTGCACAATCGTCCAGGCTGAGGGAGTGCCGTAGGACAGCGCAGTAGGGGTTGGAATAGGCATGGTGGGTGGAGCCTGATAGGGTTGTGGTTGTGGATAAGGAAATGCCGATGGATGTGGTGATGGAAAGGTGGGTGCGGTTTGCGGCTGCGGCAGCGGCCATGTGGGCTGAGGTTGCGTAGTGGGTAGTGGTGGTGGTGTGGCATGAGCATATGGCCAGGGAAAATGCATGACGTAGTCGCACCTGTCGGTGGTGAAAAGCAGCGCTGTGTAGTATAAAGGCTTCGCTATGGCACGGCGCGGCGCAGCAGCAATGTTGCAGCTGAAATTGTAAAGTTGTATTGTCATGTTGATGTTGAAAATCGCATTGCTCGCGTTGACAGGAAGTGTGTTGTGAGGCTAAGCTGGGTGTGAGCTTGTTGTCAAGTGTGGTCATGCATCTCGAATTAGAGTTGAGAACTCCAGTGTACAGGCTTGAGTTCTGCTGACGAAAAGGTCACGGCGCAGAGCTAAAAATGCAACATGTGGAAAACAACGTGCGCGACTGATCAGAAAGCTGGTGGAAGAGAAAGCTGCCGTGTTTAGGCCCGGCGGCCAATGCATCAGTTGATTCTATGGGGGTGGCCATGACTTCCGGTGAAGGTCCAGTGGAAGTGGTACGTTGGGGTTGTTGAACTCCGATGCAAAAAGCGGCGCCCCTGTGACGGGGATCACACTCAGCACCCGAGTGGGACGGCTGAGCGAAACACACTCTGACACTTGTATTCAGTGACTCAATTACCACGATGGGAAGGATGGCGATGGAACAGCAAGGCGAAAAGGTCCGGTGACTTGAATTGTTGAAAAAATGTTTCACAAGCGGCGGAAAGCTGCGGTGGGAAACCTGTTTGTGGGAGGGTATCATGAAGAAAAACCATGAAACCAACGAACAGCAGCAGGGTGGACCATTGGAGTCAATGTGTTGAAAGCAGGTACGTGAACCTGGCGTCCCAGGTGCATATCCTCTCCAATCATCAGTAGCTTCGTTGGCCACAGACTGATGAAAGGAGCTGTGGCCCCCTGCATGTGAAAGGTGGTGGAAAAACTGTGAAAGAAGTGGCGGTGGAAAAACCTTTGTCCAGGGGTGGACACACACACAAATTGACAAAGTGTCATTAAAAAAATAAAAAAAACTGTACAACCGTCAGTCTACCTACCCAAGTCAACATGGAACACTCCACGATTAGTTAGGATATGTTATGTTAGGATGTTTGGGGCATGTGACCCGGCACCTCCGTCAAACACAGGTGGCTTCGTGCTCGTGCCACATACACATAATCTGTGTCGGTCCAGTAGAGACTATGAGCTTGATGTACAGATTGCAAATATGAGCAGCTTGAATCTTGAAGAACATACCATGCAAATATGTTGTGCAAATTGTGACTTTTGTCACCTGCAGAATGTTGCAGCATACCACTGCCAACCTTGACCTTCAGTCAGCACGGCTTACTGAGACTTCAATCATCTTCAATCCACCTGTTCTATTTGCTTGGTGCTCCCTGTTGCTGCAGCGCCTCCAGAGTTCTGTGCTCTAAGACATTGTTCATCTGTTCCACAGTAACTCCAAGCCTGAGATTCGCCCCAGGAGGCGTGATTGACACATCTCTCTATTTTCTCCACCGTGGGAGCTAGGGTGGACAACTAGTAGCTAACTAAGTACAGGGCAATAAGCGAATTTTCAAGCTTAAGTAGCTACTAGCACGTCTCTTGGACAGCTTCCTTGAAGAAGCCTGAGCCTTAATGATTCAGTTCCTAGATGTTTGGGAAACTTAACAGCGCATCTCAACAGCATTCAACGTGTCAAAATGCTTCAGGAAAGAAAGGAAACTGGCAGGGAGGGATCGGTTTGTCGCCGTGCAATTCCAAGTTGCAGCTCGCAGGCTGACCGCATGGATGAGTCCTGGGCACAAAAGAAATCAAAGAACAGTCTGTAAGAACAGGACAAAAAAATCTATGGACTCCAATCCAGTGAATGAGGATGGTAAATGAGGATTGGTAGGATGAGGTCCCAGGTGGAGGAGCAGCTTTTGTTGACGAGGGATGGATGCAAATGAGGATTTGGGATGAGTCAAACATCCAGAGCCACCGACCAGCATCGAATGTGAGACAAAGCAGTGTCCTCAAAATATAACTATTGCTCTGAAGCATCCCAAAACATGAGAATGAATGAGAAGCATTACTAACAATATGGCATTTGATGCGTGGGCAAATTAAGGCCCAAGTTCGTTGCCATGCCATCTTGCATCAACGCGGAGACATACATGCACGAAGAGTCATTCAGAATGACGTGTGTTGAGACTTCCAAACCTCCCTTCCCATTTGGCCTCTGCCACACTGACACCATCTGAACCATTTTTTGTGCAGGGTGTGAACTGGAGCTCTCCTGCAAATGTGTCAAGTCAGACCGAATGATAAGTATCGAGGAAGGAACGCTTGTCAGGGTGATCAATGAACATTTTGATAGAATGAACAATACATAGAAATACTGAAATACTATAGAGGAATTCTATACCGTCTATACTATACCCATGGCCGAAAAAAGGCATGGTTATATATCAGCACCTGGTTTCAAAGCCTCCAAGACTTGGCACTATTTACTTTTGTGTGCAATTTCAAAAGTCTTGAACAGTGAGTGAGCAGGACAGGTCAAAGTGCTACAGGCATCTAATTACAGGCCATATTCAAGGTACAGTATCCATCAAAAGGCAGGAAACCTCTCACACGTTTTGGGTCAACCGCATGCAATGTTCATCTTGTTGACTATGCAAACAAGGGTAGACACTAGCTCAGACGTCGACAACACATGGCAAAACATTGAGCAGGGGAACACCATCTGTTGTTGAATGTTGGGTAGTGAGTATTGTATCCTACGCACATGTTTCCGGCAAAAGTCCCCAAACAGTGTCAAGTAGACCAAAACAAGGGTGGATAAACAAATGTTGCACTCTATAGCACACACATGAGCACACACATATGAGAGTAGAGCACAAACAAAGGAAAGCGGAGCACACACGTGAGAGCACACATTGACATTAATATGACAGGCCTGAGAGAGCACACACACACACATCAAAGCACATATTTAAAAGCATGCATATGAGGTTGGCAAAGCGCTGCGCCTTCCGCGAAAACTGCAGTTGCAGGTTCACAAAGTGCCGCCCCTGCCTTGAAATCTGCACTTTCAGGTTCTCAAGCGGCTTGGCAACAGAAGCACTTCCAAAGACAAGTTTGAGATGCCAAGTGAAGCTTCGCGTGATAGTACTCCCAAGTTCGGCAAAATGAGCCACATGTCCAAAGTTCACGATTCACTGCACCTGCCACGAAGTCGGAGCACGCCAAAGACCACCCACAAGTCCAAAGTGCTGCGCTTGCCACGAAATCTGCACATGGAAGTACAGCCGCTCTGATCTCCTGCACTCGACATCAGACCACCAAAAAATC